TTAGTTGGTCTCAGACGCATCCGTAAATCATGGTCACGTGGCCCCACAGTCCTTGGTGAATCAACTGGCCGTAACCCAAATCGTGCCAGGAATTCTATTTTATCAAACTGTGTAACTGTTTCATGAGACCCTTCTTGGGCATTGAAGGAGTTGTCTAGTTTTCTTTTGGAACATGTCATATTCTCCTGAGACCCTTCCCTGTTCCTACCTGGAGTAGAAACTTCTGTCTTCAAAACAAGAGTGGGTGGTGTGTCAGTATCTATATTTTTAATAGAAGTTCTTTCTTCAGGATTCTTTCCATCATTGGCCCCCACAGAATCTGCTGGAAGACAGGGTTCAATGCACACATTTTCAGTTATACCAGACTCACTTAGCCAAACACTGATGTTGTTTGAAAATTTCCTATCAGTATCATAAGAGATTGTAGGATACTCTGGGAAAACATTAATGGAGACGACTAGGCATTTGAGAATCCACCCCCCCATGATATGATAATTTGTTGCTGTTAAGTGTCATTGAGTCGGTTCCGACCCATAAAGACCCTGTGTAGGGTTCTCGAGGAGCGACTGGTGAGCCTGAACTGCCAATGTTGGGGTTCAAACTGACATTGCAGTCTAGCGCATTAACCCACAGCGCCACATGAGAAGTCCATGATAATGCTAGACACTATGAAAAAACAATTCTAAGAAAGTTCATTTTATAGAGCTTATTTGGTCTAAGAAAAGACTCACTGATTGGCAGAAGTCTCAGTGAGACATGGCTGGTGATTGACTTGTGAACAATCACAGCTTTAAGAACCCTTTGGAGCTGTTCTACTCTGCACATGTGAGGTCATCATGAGCTCAATGGCTGGATGGCAACTAACAAGAATTTTCCACAGGATCTACCTAACTGCAAGGTCGGCAGTTCAAGCTCACCAGCTGCTCCTCGGAAACCCTATACAGGGTCACTTTCGCTATGGGTCGGAACTGACTCAATGGCAATGAACAACAACAACAATCTAACGTCTGGTTAAAAGATCTAATAGATTCACCTGGAACAAAGATGGAGAGTAAGGAATAGAAGGAGGCTGATGTGTGGCTGACTGACTCCCATGAGACTTGACAAATCTGAATGGTGCCCAGGTACCATCACTGAACATTTTGATCAAAGATTCCATAGAAGGGTCCTGATCAAAAGGTGAGAAATGTAGAAGAGAATTCCAATTTTTCATGGACTCCAGACTCTCTGGAGCCATAGAGGTGAATAAATCCCTGAAATTATTGCCCTGAGATAGTCTTTAAACCTTAAGCCAAAAATACCCCCTGGAATCTACAAACCACACTAATGCAGCTAACTGGTGGTGGGTGGTATGCTGTGGAGTCACTTCTGGCTCCTAGCGACCCTCTCTAAGGTTTCTGAGAAGCAGCTGGTTAAGTTTCAACAGCTGATCTTGTACTTCAAACTGACCTTTCTGTTGAGTGCATTAACATGCAGTGCCACACCAGGACTCCTAGAGACCCTGCGTAGTGATTCCTAGGCGGTAAATCTTTAAAGGAAGAGAAAACCTCATTTTCCTGCAGGACAGATGGTAGTTTCAAACTACTGACCTTGAGGTTAGCAGCCCAACTCATAACCACTATGCTACCAGAGCTCCTTCTAGCTTAACTCGTTTAAAAAAACAAAAGTTTTTTAATACAAAAAGTATTCGGTTCCTTTCATCTGCTTTAGGAGATTCAAACTCAGAGCAGTCACTATAGAGATTTGATGGGAACCTTAAGGGCAGTGAGTTTATGCTAATGAAGCACAGCTCAGAAAAGCAGGGTGAGCATGGTTGTGCAACCATCCTACCATACGTAACCTATTGTCACTAAATTGTATATGTACGAACTGTTGAATTCGTCTGTTTTGTTGTATAATTTCTCAGCAATGTAAAGGCAATATAAAGTAAAAGAGATCTATCAAGTAAACCGAAACGTGTATGCAAGCCAAAAAAACCCCACAAAAACTGTGCCTACCAAGTGTCTTCTTGGCACAATGGTTAAGCACTAACTACTATGGGTCGGCACTTAACAACAACAACTAATGAAAAGATCTGTGGTTCTAGCCTAGCAGTGGCTCCACAGAAGCGTGGTCATCCAGTCCTGTATAGATGACAGCCTAGAAAACGGCACAGGGCACTTCTACTCTGTCTCATGGAGTCCTTATGAGATGGAGGAGTCAACTCTTTGGCATCCAACAATATACCAACGAGATCACAGGAGATAAACATTTCAAAGGGGGTTTGGAGTGGGGAAGCAAGGTGGAACTATCCAAATATCTTTAACTCCATTAAGTCTGGAGAAAAAAATGTACAAATTCAACAAGACAGCCCCATGCCCAGCAGAGAAAAGGAGTCAAACTATCCCTGGTCCCCAGTGTCCACACTCACCAGGACCCTTCAGAAGCTCTTGGGCATCACCTAATGTTGATCTGTTTCTGTCTGGCATCAGATTTTCTTCCAAGTTTTTCTCAGATCTCAGACTCTCCAGTTCACCTTTTATAGAAATCGTCTCAGGCGGAAGTTTCTGTCCCTAAAAATGAACAACTCAATGTGGTAAATTCTGTGTCTAGATTATGGAACGTTCTCTCCCTTCTTTCTCTATCTACCCAGACCTTGAGGCACCAGTGCACTTTCATAATATGAGTTATGAGGATATAAGCAGATATTCTATGGGCCACCTACATCATCATCCCCCATAAATGTTGTTACTAAGTGCCATCCATCAGTTCAAACTGACCTTGTGGTCCAATACTTATCCTACAGCCCCACACCAGGACTCCCCCTAATAAATATCAATGTGTGGCGCTGTAGGATAAGCACTCGACCATAAGATCGGTCTGAACTGCAAAGTCAGCTGTTCAAACTCAGCAGCCCCTCCTCGGAAACCCTATATAGGTTCTCTATAGGTCAGAATCGACTTGACAACACTTAACAATTTCTAAGGCTCTTATGAATCAATAGCCTTCACATTTCTAAGTTTCAACCTTACAGTTTTTACTCTAATGTATATTGAATACCAAATCTTGGCAGTGTACTTAACAACAACACCCGTATATTCAAGGCAGCGATGATGGTGGATGTAGAGAACAAGGCTAATGGATCTTCATTCTCCACACCCAGTGTTGTCGCGTCAAATCCAGCTCTTACTGGTCCTACAGGGGACAATGGAACTGCCCCATAGGGTGTCCAAGGCTCTAATCTTAGCACAGAACCTGCATATGTTCCCCATATGCTGCCTACTACAAACGTTTACTGGAATGGCTTCAGCCACGACCATTTGGTCAGGTCATTGATATTCCTACACTTTCCTTTTGAGATTGGCGAAGGATTCATTCATCACTAGATTTATGCAGAAACAGTTGCTGTTGTTGAATCCATTCTGAATGACAGTACAGCTAGAGACAGATTAGAGTTGACTCATAGAGGCTCCTGGAAGCTGGCTGCCACATCTTTCTCCTGTGGAGCAGTTGATGGCCTTGAACTGCCAACCCTTGAATTAATAACCAGCTGTTTTATCTACTGTGCAACCAGGGATCCTTTTGTAGGAATATTTTTGGTAAAACTAAATCGATTTATTAGTGGCATCTCATTTTGTATTGGGATACCAAAGGTTGCTGGGTGGCATCAACAGTATCTGCCTGACTGCTAACCAGAACGTTGTTGGTTTGAACCTAACCTGGTATTGTGGAAGATAGCCTTGCCACTCTGCCAAGGAAAAGACAATTCTATGCACTAGTTCTATGAATCACCCGTTGGAATCCACTTGACAGCAATTAACAACAACAAAAGACATTTACTTTCCCCTCATTAGGACTTGGAATCACCAATATACTTCCTCTTAGCGTCATTCGATTAGACACGATATTTTACACATTATTTTCTTTACTGATATCCTGGTACAACATCACATGGGTCTCCTTTTCCCCTTGCCTATCTGTCTCCTAGACTAGGTTTTCTCAACCTCAGCACTATTGACACTTTGGGTTGCATGACTCTTTGTAGTGGGTACTGTTTGGTGCATTGTAGGTTGCTGACCAGCATCACTAGCCTCCACCCACTAGATGGCCCCCTCTTGATGTAACAACTAGACGTGTCCCCTGGGACATTTGCCCAATGTTCCCTGGGCTCAAAAATCATTGCTAGCTGAAAATAATTGATCAGGAATAAATCCCTAATGTCCTTCCTAGTTAGAATCCCTGGTAGTTAAACCCCAGACTGAGGTCCAAACCCATCAACTGTTTGATGTGCTCAAGATGTGGCAGTTGGCTTCAGTGACGATCACAGCTCTGGAGACCCTATGGGACAATTCTTCTCTCTCCTGCAAGGTCACTATGAGTTGGAATTAGTGTTCGGTTTTTTTGGTTTACTCTTTTCTATGGCAACTCTTCCTTGTAGCCCTCATCCCAGAGTTCCAATTCCCATACCTGATAGATTCTACTTACTGATGGATTGAGTCTCCTGTTATTTCTCAGTATCTTCTCCAGGTCTTGGCAATTCTCTACTCCACTTTCTGTGACTAAGATCTGGAGACTCACTGGCATGTGGACCATGAATTGCTCCAACACTAGCTTGTCCAGAATCTGTTCCTTGGTGTGAAGGTCCGGCCTCAGCCACAGATAACAGACTGAACAGAGTCTCTGTAGAGCCCTGATAGGGTCAGTGTCTTCTGACCATGAAAATGATCGGAAAGTCACATGCCAATTCTCAGAGTTACAGTCTGGCTTTCCAAGATGAGTTCCTTGAGAAGACATGAGCTGTGAAGACTGCGATCCAGGGCTGGCACCAGCTTTCTCATAATTCCATGAAGATGTCAGCTCAACAGCCATGCTTACTTAGTGCGGAGTTTCCAATAGGAAGCCAGTAACTGAGACCTATCTGAATGGGCCTATTTTGGTTTTCTTCAATAAAAACTTCAAAACTTGGCTTCAGAAGTCTAGAAATAGAAACGGGTAAGCTAGATTAGTTTGGCGTTACTTTTCTCTCTGCTCCCTTTAAAATTCCTCAGCCCAATAGACGATGCCATTCTTACAGTGAAAATTAATCCAGGCTATCATTGTACTGAAGCGGGAGAAAGATGAGGCTTTCTACTCCGTAAAGATTTACACCCTTGGAAACCCTGTACAGGGTCGCTATGGGTCGGAACTGACTCGATGGCACTTAACAACAACAACATCATTGTACCGAAAGGGGCTCTGATAGCATAGTGGTTACGAATCAGGCTGCGAACCACAAGGTCAGCAGTTCGAAACTACCAGCTGCTCTGCGGGAGAAAGATGAAGCTTTCTGCTCCCATAAAGATTTACAGCCTCGGAAACCCTGTTCAGAGTCGCTATGGGTCGGGAACCGACTCAACGGCACTTAACAACAACAACAACATTATTCTACCAGAGTCCTGGTGTGGCACTGGGGGTTAATGCACCAGACTGCAAAGTCCTTTGAACTGCAGGGTCAGTAATTCAAGCTCACCAGCTGCTCCTTGGAAACCCTATACAGGGTCGCTGTGGGTCGGAACTGACTCGACAGCACTTCACAACAACAACAACAATTATTCTACCAGGAGCTCTGGTAGCGTAGTGGTTATGAATCGGGCTGTGAACCTCAGGGTCAGCAGTTCAAAACTACCAGCTGTTCCGCAGGAGAAAGATGAGGCTTTCTGCTCCCGTAAAGATTTACAGCCTCAGAAACCCTGTTCAGGGTCACTATAGGTCGGAATTGACTCGACAGCACTTAACATCATTCTTCCAAGGAGGCCAAGAGGTGGAATGGATGAGCAGCTGGCTCTAACTGAAAGATCGGTGGTTGGATCCTATTCAGGGGCTCTTTATTTGTGTGCACATTCCAAAAAAACCCCAAAAAACATAAGACCCCACATAGTATGGAAAGCATCGGAAGAATATTGTTAATATCATACAACAGTAAAATTTTGCTAAAGACCATTCAAAAATGGTTGCAGCAGTACATTGACAGGAAGCTTCCAGAAACTCAAACCAGATTCCGAAGAGGACATGGAATGAGGAAGAACCTTAGTGGTTTCAGCCAGGTGGATCTGGACTGAAAGCAAACTCCCAGAAAGAGGTTTACTTGGTTTTTATTGGCTAGACAAAGGCATATAACTATGTAGCTCAAAGATCAGGAAACTTTGAAGACTGGCATTCCAGAACCCTTCATTACAGGCCAAGAAGTTAACCATTCAAACAGAAAAAGCAAGGCTGAAAGGTTTAAAATCCAAAGCGGCGTGTGGTATGGGTGTATTCTGGCACTATAATGATTCAATCTGCATGGTGTGACATTGGAATCTTTGGACTCCATTTTTCCATGAATTTGTTGAATCTCATCCTTCCAGTAGTTGATGAATCGAGCAAATGGTTAAGTCCTGAGCTGCTAACCAAAATGCTGCCACTTGGAATCTACCCAGAGGCACCTTGGAAGGAAAGCCTGTCTATCTACTTCCAAATGTCACAGCTTTGAAAACCCCATGTCGGTCTGCAGAAGAAAGAAAGCCTATGGGGGCAGGTCTGTGCCCTACAGGGTCACGGAGTCAAAAGCAACTCAAGGGCAATGGATTTGGGTCCCCCCTCACCCCCCTTTCTGATTCCAGGATATTCACTTGCTCCAGGGCAGGGAGGGCATAAAAGAATGCCAAGAGAATTAAGCTCCTAAATGGATTTGTGTATTTCTGTGGTCAAACTTATCTGACATAGAGTTTATCAGTTTATCCTTTTCAAGGGCATGGCAGCTTTGTTATTATAAATCGGGCTGCTAACCTGAAGGTTAGCAGTTCTAAACTACCAGCTGTTTCGCAGGAGAAAGATGAGACTTTCTGCTCCCGTAAAGATTTACAGCCTCGGAAACCCTGTGCAGGGTCACTATGGGTCAGAACCGACTCCACGGTACTTAACAACAAGGGCATGGCCCAGTGACATTCATTACATTCAAAATTTTGTACAAAAACAGCATTACTATCCTAGCACTAGAACATGTGCGTCAGTCCCAAAAGGAACCACCCTAAGCATTAAACAAGGTAACTTGGTGGCACTACAGCTAAGCACGCCACTGATAGCCAAACGCTGGCTGTTAGAACCAACCTAGGAACTGTGAGGAAGAAAGAATTGAAGTTGTTTACGGTGATTCTACATAGCGTTTCCAGGGCTGTAAATGTTTGCAGGAACAGACAATCTCGTCTTTCTCTTGAGACGTAACTTGTTGACTCGAACTGCCAACCTGTGGTTCACAGTTGAGTGTTTCTGCTAGAGGGCCACCGTGTCCCCTGACTTGGCAGTATGATCACCAAGCAAACACATTGCTGTCCAGAGACTATGATCTCTATGAGACCAAGTGGAGTCCTGGTGTGGCCCTAAAGGTACTGAGTTCTGCAAGTTCAAACCCATCAGCTGTCTTTGGTCACTAAGAGTCTGAACTGACTTGATGGCATTTAACAATAAAGGGACAGACTAGAAATGCCCTTTAACCACGGTAAGCCTAGGGGGCAGTCTGGTGCTGCCCCACTGTGGTGAGGAGTCCCCTAGAGGGCACACAGCCCATAAACAAGTCTCCCCACCCCCACCCTCCAGCCCCAGGCAAACACTAACCCAATTCTTATCTGTAGGAATTTATCTAGTCTCCAGGGGATTTAACAACAACACAATCCCATTCCAGTAAATGGATTTGAAATCCAACTCTTAAATCTCAACTTGATAACAGTGGGGTTGCATTTAGCTTTGATTTTGATTTTCCTAATAGCCAGAGTTTTGCTGTTGAGTGGCATGGAGTTGATTCCCATTCATTGTGAACCAGAAGTCCTGGTGTGGTAGTGTGGAGTAAGCACTGGACTGCTAACCACAAGGCTAGCAGTGAAACCCACCAGTCACTCCTACATGACAATAGGACTGTCCCAGTGGGGTTTCCAAACTGTAGACTTTAGGATGTGGGAGCATGGTGGCTCCCTATGGTGAGTGCTGGATTGTGAAGCACAAAGTTGGAGCCCACCATTTGCTCTGCGAGAGAGAAGATGAGGCTTTCTCCTCCCTCAGAGATTTACAGCCTCAGAAGCCATATGCCGGGAGCTATGGGTCAGAAGTGAGGTGACTGCACTTAACAACAATCTTTAGGATAAGCACTAAATTAGGAGCAACAAAGCTGACAGCTTGAGCTCATCATCTACTCAGTGGGGGAACAAAAGAGACTTTTTGCTAACTGCAAAGATTTAGCGCCTCAGAAACCCTATAAAGGGTCTCTATGATTCAGAACCAACAAACCTACAAAGGGTCGCTCTGAGTCAGAACCAACTCCAGGGCACTTCACAATAACAACCGATCTTTACAGAACTACCTTGCCTCCTCTTTCTCCCATGCATCGACTGGTAGGTCTGAACTACTGACTTTCTGTTAATAGTCCAGTGCTTTCACTCCTCACCAACAGATCTCCTTCACAAAGACTTAGCCAGCCAAAACTATAGTGTCAAGGTTTTAAGCAACCCTGATTTAAAGTACAAACCATACCATATTGCACCCATTTCACAGATGAGACCTCAGGCCAACATGCTTTCAGAATGCCTGGTGACTACAGACTCAAATCTTTTAAAAATCAACCTCAGCTCTCCCTAATTCCTAAATACCCTCAGAGACCCACATACTTAACTCACCTCCTTCCTCTCTTCCTGCTGTCCCATTCCTAGGGTCTGAGATCCCTTTTCCAGCCTGTCTGGAGTGGAATGGCCTCAAGCTGGGAAAGCTTCCTGATATCCCATCTGCCCACAGAAATGGCGGAATATACCCATTGGCTGAGGAATTTGACTCATGGTGACCCTATAGAACAGGATAGACCCACCCCTTATAGGGCTTCCAAGGCTGTAATTTTTACTGAGAGTAGATTTGGTGGTGCAGTGTTTAAGCACTCTGCAACTAACTGAGAGATACAAGGTTCAAACCTATCAACTGCTCAACTTCCATAAAGATACAGCCTTGGAAACCCTGTGGGGCATTTCTGCTCTATCCTCTGGGGTCCCTTATGAGTCAGAATCTACTCCATCCACTGGGTTATTCTTTATGGAAGCAGACTGACACCATCTTTTTTTCTTGGAGTCCCTCATGAGTTCAAACTGCTAACCATTGATTATATTAGAAGCCACGTGCTTAACCACTGTGCCACCAGGGTTCCTATGGAATGTTCCAAGGAGCCGATAACTAATCATTTCATGACTGCCCGTGGGAGTTGCAAACTGTTAATGGTAATGAAAAGGGTGAAGTCCGGAAGTACCTTGGCAAATCTCCTTCTGAAATTGTCAGTGAAAACAACATTATCCCATAGCCTGCTGGAAGAGGCGTCTTCCCACTCTAAATACATACTGGCCGCCACAACACTGGGCCTGAGTCTATATCATTGAATGTGATGATGTTGTAGGACTGGACAAAGTTTTGTTCTGTTGCATTTTGGGGCTCCAGTGAGTCGGAGACAGCTCGACAACTAACAACAAAAATGATGAGAAGTCTCAATACCCCGCTCGGCACTCCGCCCAAAGAAGGAAACAATTCCGTGTTGAGCATCAGCTAGGAAAACACCAAATAGTTAACACTGAACCAAAAAGAGGTTTGGGGCTCCGGCTCCCTCAAAGTCCAAAATCTGTGCATAATGAATGTACCGTTGACATTTGAACAAGGTGGGGGGTGTTGAACTGCCGTGCAATTAGTCATAAACTCCTTGTGAGCTGTTCGTTGTCTATGACAATGATTCCAACTTATAGTGGTGACCCATGGGTGTCAGAGGAAATACTGTATTCTATGGGGAGTCTTGGTGTGATGCTGTGGGTTAATGCACTGGACTGCAAAGT